TTCCTCTCTGCCCAACTCTCCAGCCTGTCCAGGTCTCGCTGAATGGCAGCACAGCCTTCCAGTGTATCAGCCACTCCTCCCAGTTTTGTGTCATCAGAAAACTTGCTGAGGGTGCACTCTGTCCCTTCATCCAGGTCATTGATTAGTAAGTTGGACAAGACTGGGCCCAGTACTGATCCGTGGGGAACACTGCTAGCTACAGGCCTCCAGCTAGACTCTCCACTGCTGATGACAACCCTCTGAGCTCTGCCATTCAGTCAGTTCTCAGTCCACTCCACTGTCCACCCATCTAGGCCACACTTCCTGAGCTTCCCTATGAGGATGTTATGGGAGACAGTGTCAAAAGCCTTGCTGAAGTAGAGGTAGACAACATCCAGGGCTCTCCCCTCATCTACCCAGCTGGTCATGCCACCATAGAAAGCTATCAGATTGGTCAAGCATGATTTCCCCTTAGTGAATCCGTGCTGACTACTCCTGATGACCTGCTTTTCCTCTGCTTGCTTAGAGATGACATCTAGAATGAGCCATTCCATGACCTTTCCAGAGATGGATTTGAGGCTGACCAGGATGTAGTTTGCTGGGTCCTCCTTCCTGCCCTTTATGAAGACTGGAGTGACATTAGCTTTCCTCCAGTCCTCGGGCACCTCTCCTGTCCTCCAGGACCTTTCAAAGACGATGGAGAGAGGCTCAGCAATGACACCTGCCAGCTCCATCAGAACTCGTGGGTGCATCCCTTTGGGGCCCATGGATTTGTGGATGTCCGGGTAGTTCTCTCTTTTAAATGAATAGTAGAATATCTCAAGTTGGAATGGACCCACAAGGATCAGAATACCGACTCCAGCTCATCCCTGCAACTTTTTTCTCTCTTAGCAAATAGAGAATTGTCTGAATAATCTGCTGATGTAATGGTGCCATGCTCATTTCATTAACAGGTAGAGTAACATCTAGAACAGGCCTACCAGGACTTCCTGGAGAACCAGGGTGTATAGGACCTCCGGGACCTCCAGGAGATATTGGCATGAAAGGTCAGTTTCAGAAAACTGTCACGCAAAAATAAGTGATACAATCCAGTAAGCTTCTTGGATCCTCATGAAATTTTGAATTTAATTTAATTTACCTCTTAAGCCATTTGACGAGTTCAGGTATTTGAAAAATTTGTTAGGGATAGCAAGATGTCTTCCTCCCCTTACAGTAAACAGCAGCTAAAAGAGCAGTGTGCATTCCAGTGCTGCACACCAGTTGTACAGCACTGCAGCAGGGTGTAGATCTTCACTGGGACAAACAGTTACTACAAGTTGGTATATTTTTGTATTCTCCCTTTGTTATGTTCAACACTAACAGTCGTTCTCTGAGAGAAGGTTCCTTCCGCAAATACCACCACAAGAGCTGCTGAATCTTATTGCTACTTTCCAGTCATGAAAGTCACCCAGGCTGTTATGGAGCCACGTTAGTTTGGAGCCTGTGTCCCTTTCTGCTTTTGAGAGAATTTGGCTTATCAGTAAACTGCCTATATCCAACTGGTTTACTAAAACTAGACTTGAAAAAAATCAAGAGACTTAAGCTGAATGTTTCTGCATTTTCAATTAAATGTTAATCAGTTCAGATTCACTGTCTGACCACAGATAGTTCTGTACTGTGTTGGAAGTGATCTTTCAACAAAATTAAGGCTGTGTTCCTACCATTCTCTGACCACAAGTCTTAGCAGTCCTCTGTAACAAGCTGTGTAACACATCAGTTAAGTATGGGAATGACTTGCTGTGAAACAACTAATGAATTATTTTCACTCTAGGTGATGAAGCTCGCGTGTGTACTGATTGCAGCTATATTCCGGGAATACCTGGTCTTCCTGGTTCTCCTGGGCCACATGGCCAAGATGGTGTGCCTGGTAAATTCTCTTGCTGTTTCTAACAGGATAGTAAGAAAGGCCAATGATTTTGCTTTTAGCGTGAGAATCATGTATGGGCATGTCTGCAGCATGCAGTCCTTGAACTAGGCCTGAGGCTGTGATGAGTATGAGAGCCTGATGCAGCTCTGTCCACTGAAACAAGCACAAGCCCTAAAAGAAGTGAAGTCAGAATGGTAATAGGCTTAGGTGCAGCACGAAGCTAGGTCAGTCTATGATGGTGCAGTCGATGTAACAAGCAGAAACATTCAATGCTGGCTGTGATTATATAACAGCTTGTCAAAATCCATGTCCTTGTTTTCATACTTCTTACAAAATATGCTGTTTCTTTTGCAGGTAGAGAAGGAACTACAGGTCCAAAAGGTTCTCCAGGTTCTCTGGGAGCACCAGGGTTTCCAGGAGCTCAAGTAAGACTTGGGTTTTTCAGATTATTTTTCAGATCCCATAAGAATTATTTCAGAGAAACCTCATGGCTGGTGTTACATGGCAGCATCATACTGGGAGGTGTCAACAGTTTTCTTTCTGTAGTAATGAATGTGTCTGCATGGGAGGCCTGTGTAGAGACTGTAATGTGGACATAGCTGACCTAGCTTTATGTGAGCCTGTTTTGCTCAGTGCGGAAGTTCAGCAGAGGCAGTGAGACCAGTAAATATCTGTGTGATTAAGCTGTGCTGTATTTCACAATGGCTACACTGCTTCTGCTGCCTGGTATGGGTAGTTTACAGTTAACTCCTGTTCATCTACATGATTTTATAATTATGGCAGTGGCTGTAAAGCATATATAAAGTTTTGTGTGCTGTGATCATCATCAGATTTCTTACTTCTCTTGTTTCCAGCATACTCAGGACTTGCTAAAGCCCTAGCTGTGCAGAGAAATGTGCTTCTCGTAATAGTGTCTTCAGGGGTGCAAAGAACATTCTTGGGAAACATTATGAAGAGGGAAGGCTGACGCCTGCTGCCACAGACATACCACTTGGTTGTTCTAACTTGTGCCTGTAGTAATAATTATGCATGGGAAATCACAAGTCAGTGCTGTCCAGTAAAAAAAAGTCATGCACAAGTATTCATTGTGGTGGTTGCCATACAGATGCAGAATGAAAAAGTCTGCTGATGGGTTTTTCCAGAAGGTTACCAAGAGTTCAAGAGCCAAGATCTCTAGAGCCCAGTGCACTTTCAGCTTGTGCTGGTTTTGGCTGGGATAGAGTACCCACTTTGTACCCTGAGGGGTAAAGAAGGGAAAAGAGAAGGTAACTATGAACAGAGTCAACTGTGGCTGTTATAGTATCCCTGGAGAGATATTCACATGTGGAGGAGAAATATCTAATTAGATTTTAAGGTACTGTATTATTCCTGCCTGTGGTAGTATAAATGAAATTATAATCAGGGCCAAAAGGAGAAAAGGCGGGAGAAAAAGAAAAAGGGAAAAAAAACCCAAAGAAAACCTTGTTCATCGAAGTGTGCCATTACGGTGAATAAAGATGAGAATAAAAAGAACCACTCTCAGGTATTTAATTTAAAAAAAAGACATCTTGAAAACAGTTAACATGTCTAGCACTGAAATTCTTTTGATCACTTTGTTCCAGGGACTTCCAGGTTTTAGAGGAGATCAAGGACAAAAAGGATCAAAAGGTGAGCCAGGATATGTGTATCCAGAAGGGCCAAAAGGTGAGCGAGGAGATCCAGGGGCTAGGGGAGACAAAGGAAGAAAAGGTTCAAGTGGATTTCTGGGAAGACCTGGCTCTAAAGGATCCAAGGGTTCTAAAGGTGAAGAGGTGGGTATGCATTGTTGGCATTTAATACAGAATTCATGAAAACCGAAGTCAGTATTTATATCTTGTACAACAATGTTTTATTTATTCAGATACTTCTACATAACTTAGGGGCGCTATGTTCAACTATAGCAACCAATATGTGTTTTAGAATGAGAGTATATAGTCTTACATAATACCAGAGATTGAAGCTAGTGCAGATACTTATTGCTGAAAAGCCTTGGCAATCTGTTGTGGTGTTAGTTTGGATATTTATATTGGAGCATCATCTTAGATTCCTATGATGAAAAAGATTTTTTATTTTTAAAAAGACAGTTTTCCCAACTACTTATAGTGCTTAAAAGGAAATAATTAAAATAATTCCTCTTCAGTCTTTAGGAGTTAATCTTCAGTCAGGGCTGAGAGAAATCACAAAAGCTGGGAGGACTGACCGTAAAACAGGGCAGAGCTCTTTCTTCAGCAGAAAAAAAAAGTGACAATTATTGTTGTGTTGTGTTGGCTGAGAAACTGTAAAAGTGATTCAGATATCACTCTCTAAACCTGACTTGACAGTATTCAAGGAGAATCAGAGCTGAGGGTTTCTTTTTTTACCAAACCTGCTTTAAAAAGTAAAAAAGCATGCAGTGTAATGCCACAACAATTCAAAAATCAAGCTGTTGTATTTATTTGTACTGTTTCAATAGCCTTGTATTTGTGACCATTAATAGTAGAATTTATATTCCTTTAATCACAAGTAAATCGGAGGAAAAATTCCTCTTAAAGTAGCAGAGCTACTCTGTTGTTAAAGTAATGCAGGATTTTAGTCGGACAGAGAATCAGGCATTTTGTTACGAAAGCTGGTGTGGAAAGCAAGTAATGCTTGGTATACACACGTGTGTAATCTTTAATAGGGATTGGCTGGTTCGAAAGGAAATAGAGGACTACCTGGATTGCCTGGCAATGTTGGTCTTCCTGGAGAGATGGGGCTTCCTGGACTGCCAGGATATGGACCACAAGGAATAAGAGGTTTCAAAGGCTCTAAAGGAAGATCTGGTTCACCTGGATTACCTGGAGAACCTGGTTAGTAACTTCCTGTTTTACTATGTTTTAGCTATGTTGAAGAGCAGTTGATTGAAATTGCAGAGATAGATTGAAGTCACAGACATAATTTATGAAACATAGGAAGTTTTTCTTGGGATGAGATTTCCACAGCATTGTTCAAACTTTGGTTCCACTGGAGATAATAGTAAAAGTCTTAGTAGCATAAGACAATTGAGGTGGAGGGGGACCTTGTGAGGTCTTTAGTCCAAACTCCTGCTCAGAGCAGGGTCAGCTGTGAGATTAGACCAAGTTAATCAAGGCTTTATCCAGCTGGGCCTTGAAAACCTCCAAGGACCAAGACAGCACATCATCTCTGGGCAACCTGTTCCAGTCCTTGACTGTCCTCATCATGAAAAAAAAAAAAAAAGTCTTTAAATATGTATCCAGTCATCATCATTAGTGTCAGCTAAGTCATCAGGAGAAGACATGAAGGACTTAATTATTTTTGCCTGCTGAAGCATACCAGTGTATATATTTATAGGCAAGCATAATCTGGAAGAACTCAAAGTTGGACGGTAGATACATTCAAGGTTTCTTAAAGAGAATGACTCTGCTTCCTTTTCTGGGTCTCCATTAGGCTGCAGGAGCACTGAGAGGAAGGCTGCAAGTGGTCTTGGTGTCAGTAAAATTCTTTTGCTTTATGAAGCCAGGGTCTGAAGGCTTGTCAAAGTCTTTTGGAGTTTCAGAAATATGGAAACTATAGGATACTGCATTTTTAACTGAGTAGATTGATTACTAATATTTTTTTAAGTGCTTAAGATTACATATTGCCAAACTATAACCCTTTGTAACATTTGATTATGTATTTGCTGAAGGTCTGAAAGGAGAGACCAGTAAGGTAACTCCATTACCTGCCTTGCCGGGACCTCAAGGACCAGATGGTTTACCTGGACCCCCAGGAGTGCCTGGTGAGTACATCTGCACTAAACACAGTAAAAAATCGGAGATAATTTGATTGGGATTTCTCTTCCAGCTCTGGCCAGATAAAACTGTTGGGTACAGAAACAGTGGAATTAGCTGTAATATTCCCTTTCAGGAAAACTAGGGAAGTAGATGCGAATAGGAAGGGCATGCAAGGCCATGTCCGTGGTGTGCAATATGGCAGAGATTCCAAGTAGTCCTATGCTATGACATGGTTCCTCCAAGAACCAGAAACATCTGGTGCCTGTGCCACAGCTTGCATATCCAGAAAGGAGCCTCTTGCACAATTTTGACGAAAGCCTATCCTAAATTATTCTGGGACTGCTGCAGCGTTCAAAACAGAAGGAACAAAGTTAGGCTGAAGCATTCTTAATCTTCCTGAAGCCCTTGGCCCTTATGCTTTGCAGGGACACAGTCAAAAAAGTAACTGTATTACTAAGTTTCCCGGTTCCTTTTTGACGTGACTAAGATATTAAGAACCTGAGTTTACTTTTTTGTGTGGGTTTTGGGCTTGGGTTCTGGGTGGGATTTTTTTAGTTGCTGGCATTGTAAATTTTGCACAATTTTTGAATGCACTGAAGGGCAGTAAGTGACATTCAGACTAACCATAAGGCATGTTTGCTGTGGTTTTGTAGAACAACAGTCCTTAAAGCTGCCCTGAATAGCATAGGAAAATTTCTTCGCAGCTTTATGGTTCTTACAGATGCTTCTGTTCCAAGCTTCACCTTTATAATGTGTGTTTCTGTATTCTCAACAAGTGAAAGATTTGTATCGGCTGTAATTATTTCTATAAGTCTGGAAATTTGGGCAGATCGCGTTAAAACTTGCCACAGACTCATGGCTGCTTTGATGCTGTGAACACAGTTAGCATTTTAACTGTGCAAATGTACTGTGGATGAGAAGTAGGGTCTCAGTTCTAATATAATATACAGTGCTGTCCTAATAAATAATGATAGACTATAAAACACCTAATCTTACAAGGTGATGTTCTGTGGTAAGATACATCACAGTTTATTATTTTCTTTGTACAGGTAGGGTTGGAGCAAGAGGTCAGCCAGGTGATTCAGGACATCCAGGGCCAACAGGTGACACAGGCTTTCCTGGGCTTGGATTTCCTGGAAACCCAGGTCCAAAAGGTAAAATATTCTTTTTGATCTTCTCCAAAACAAAACCAAATCTCAAAAAAATCTACTACTTTTTTTTCAGTCCACGTTAAAAATAATCAACAAGTTAAAATCAATGAGCATTACTCAGACAGCCAAGTGTTCTTAGCACTCTTCTAATTTACTGCCTTCAGGCTTACAAATTGCAATTTTGAATATTTTAAGTATTTCAGAGAATCAAGTCTCAAAGCTGGCAGTAGAAAATACTTTAAAAGACGATGATGCTTCCTCGAATACTGCCCAAACAGGTGCAGTTCATCCACATGCCATGCTTACTTCAGATGTATTCTCTTTATTTGGATACGTGTTAGAGAGATAGAGCTGTATAAGTGTCAGTACTTTATTTTTAATGAATTTTGGTTAGGTACAATGAAATAACTGCTGTCATGTACAGGTAATAGAAAGCATTTTGAATACTACGAATTTGGCCATTCCTCTTGCACAATCATACCCCTCTTTGGACAGTAGAAATACTAAGAACTATTCTCATAATCCCATCAGGACAGGGGGGAAAAGCAAGCTCTGGTACTAAAACTACTGCCAAGCTGCTCGTTGAAGAAAACAGTACAGAACTGACATCAGAATAGCTTCACTTCAAAAAAAGAAAAAAAAAAGATAAGTAACTGATTTGAAGCAAGTAACCAGGCAGTGTTACAGTCAACATTGAGTGAATATGTAAGGAACAAGATGCAGTGTGTTGCATCAACTCTGCAATCAAGATTCTGTCTTCAGCTCATGCAAGCTACTTTAGTGTCAGAAGGTCATAACTGCATCCATACAAATATTCATTTGTAAAATAAGGTGGTAACCATAGTATCTGTACTCCCGTTTAATTCCTTTTGCAGGAGATAAAGGACTTGCAGGAGACAGAGGGCCGCCAGGTTGTGCAGGAAAGATCGGAGATCCAGGCCGAGCTGGAAACCTAGGACAACCAGGAGAAAAGGTTTGGTTAGAAATACAGCACAGGCTTTTTCGTAGGTCCCATTCATTAAATGTGACACTGAGTAAAGAAATTAAGAAATGTAAGGAATATAGGAAGGAGTTCCTATATTTCCTGACCAGTGATAAGCAAACTGTGAAATGAATTTGTTTATATATAAAGGGGCTCAGCCTAAAATTTTAAATTCGTATACAGGATTTCAGAACTCAAGTGTTTGGGATGTTTTGGTACTTCAGTTTTCAGAGCAGAAGGAAGATATTACATTGTTTACAGCAAAGCATTAAGGCCACAGCTTCTGAAAGGATGGCTATTCAGAAATTGCCATTAAGTGCATATTTGATGGAGGTCAGTGATGAGTAGGCATTTAATTTAAGCAAGTGCTCTGTTGAATAGAAGTGTAAAGGAAGCAGGTTGGAGATAGTACTGCAACCACTTTTGCTGATTAACATAAGCTAATCTGCTGATGGCATATGTAAATGTAGGATTCTTGGCTACACTGTAATCAGGATTCAAATTTGAACAAATCATATAATCATATGTTGGAAGAGACTGCTAAGATCATCAAGTCCAACCATCCACCCAACACCACCATTCCTACTAAACCATATCCTGAACTGCCACCTCTACACCTTTTTGTGAACACCTCCAGGGATGGTGACTCCACCACCTCCCTGGGCAGCCTATTCCAATGCCTGACCACTCTTTCAGTAAAGAAATTTTTCCTAATATCCAGTCTAAACCTCCCCTGACACAACTTGGGGCCATTGCCTCTCATCGTATTGCTAGTTAGTTGGGAGAAACCAACACCTGCCTCACTACACCCTCCTTTCAGGTAGTTGTAGAGAGCAATAAAGTGCCCCCTCAGCCTCCTCTTCTCCAGACTAAACAGCCCCAGTTCCTTCAGTAGCTCCTCGTAAGACTTGTTCTCCAGACCCCTCACCAGCCTCGTTGCCCTTCTCTGGACACACTCCAGCACCTCAATGTCTTTCTTGTAGTGAGGGGCCCAAAACTGAACACAGTACTCAAGATACGACCTCACTAGTGCCGAGTACAGGGGCAAAATAATAACACCTAAATGTTTTGGAAAGGTGGCATTTGTTTTTTTGTGTGTGATACATCATTCTTTTGTGTGATTTTAGTATTATTTAATCTGTGTTTGTCACAGAACAGCTGGATGTGGAGTGGCCTTTGTGGTCCAAGTATATCGTCAGTGACTGGTATAAGCTCAGCTCTACTGACCTGCTTTATGAACATATTGATTTGCTGATACTCAAAGCTAGTACTCAAAAAACCTAGCAGTTCAGTCAGCCAAAAAAACCAACTCAAACATTCCGTTCAGGGAACAGGCTTGGGACATTTGTGATAAAACAGTCTTCATGGAAAACAATGCTCAGAAGAATGATTAGAAAAACCCAATAACTGTGTTTGAGTATTCTGAGAAACATCTGGGTGCTGACTTGATTATTTAAATAAATACTTTGATAAAAATATTTCTGTCATATAAAATAAAGGAAAAATTGTATTTACACAAACTTCAACCCAATTTTCAACTACAGGTCCAAAGCTTTTCCCAGCTAAAGCAAGCATCACAGTGCAATAAAGGCCAGATGGAGCAAAGCGTCTTGCACTGCTCAGTAGCAATTTCTTAGAGTTAGGAGACAGCATTCAAAAGGTGTCTAGACGAATTACTCCTCTGGTATGGAACCTACAGCTGGTTGATAAGCAACATCCAGTGGTCTGCTGAATTGGAGCCATTAAAAGTTATAATGTGAAAGATTCCCCAAGGAATGGAGAAAATTACCCTGATTAAAGAAGTTAATTGATCAAACAGTGGAGAAATATTTTGGCAGATTTGCAAAACATAGTACATATGGATTGTTTACATTTGTCTCTTTGTTGCAGGGTGACCCAGGCATGGTTATTCCTGGAGAGCCAGGTAGACTTGGTTCACCAGGCATTCCTGGCTCAAAAGGTGAAACTGGATTTCCAGGACTTCCAGGCCTACCAGGGCGTGCTGGACATGATGGTGATGATGGCCTAGGAGGTACTGTTGTCAAACAAGCTCAAGGAGCACAGCAAGTTATTTTAAGAAAAGGGAAGCCAAGTCAAACAATGCTCACTCAAAGCCTGAAACTTCTACTTACATCGTTCTGAATCCTGTCTCCTTTCTTTTAGGAGATCATGGCCCAGCTGGAGTTCCTGGAGATCCAGGTTTTCCGGGGAAACCTGCTGAATGTCTTACTGGCCTGACAGGTTTGCAAGGTGGCCAGGGAGCTACAGGCCCACCAGGTAGGACCTTCTGAATCAAAAGTGCCATTTGGCTGTGTGGGTCTGGGTTTTGTTGCTGCCTTCCAGTGGCCTCAGGGAGTTGAAATTGATTTTGGATATTGCATATAGCATAGTATGTGAGAAAATGTGAGCTTACTTACAAGATACACTTTCTGCAGATGGAGGAAACACATGGGCTGATTAAGCTGGATTAAGATTCAGATTCCATTGTACAGTATAAAGAGTAATCACGAACTGGCCCAAATGTCAAGTCTCCTATATGAGGCTGAACTTAGATTCGTCAGTGCAATGCAATTGATAAAGAAACAAAACAGAGGAAGAGCTCAGCTGGGTAGAAAACCAGTTTAGGGACTAAAAAATACCTGCATATACTGCATATGATTTCTGTTCTAAGAGAAAAACACCTGGGTGCCCAGCACAGTCCTCCTCCTTTATCTGATGTCAAAAAGATTTTTTTTTTTTTGAGAATGAATGCAGAATTGGTGGGTTTTTTCATGTTTGTTTTTTTCTTCTTGTTCTGAGAAGGAACGGAATTGTCTACTCTCGCTTTTTTTTATTATTATTATTATTTCTTTTAAAAGCATCTGCCACCACAGCTCTTTTGAGATTTCGTAAACACATGCTGCCCTCAAACAGGTGGAGTTCAAGAAGAGTTTCATGCTCATGATGACAAGATAGAGATGAAGGTTTATTTTCCAGACAGATGTATCATCCTATGCTGTCATGCATTTTTCTTAGGAGGAAGAGGTTTGCAAGGTTCAAAAGGAAAACTAGGTCCTCCTGGCTTGAGTATCCCGGGAATCTATGGAAAACCTGGAGACCCTGGATTAATAGGTCTTCAGGGAAGTACAGGATTACCTGGTCCCAAGGGACAGTCTGGAAGGCCAGGAATCTCTGGTGTGCCGGGTAAGGATTCCCTCAGTACTTGTTATGATACAGAAATTACGTCAGTCTCTGCAAAAAGTCATGCTTTTCCAAATTGAAGATGCTGAAATATTTTTCCATGAACAGCTTTCATATGTCATTGAGATCTATATGGAAAACATATCATCATTACCTAAATGGTGAGCATATCTTAAAGCTGTCATGACATAGCACTGGATTTTCTATAACAGTCTTCCGAGAACAGAAGGCTGCCTTACATTGGTTTTGTACAGTAATGTCCTTGCCGTAGGACATGAACTAGTTAACATGCAAAGCAACTCCCCAGAATAATGGAAGTGTAAAGCGTTTAGCAGTTTTTACTCCACATCCCTTTTCAAACAGGTAGCTTGTTAATCCTGTCATCTTTCTCTGAAAAAGCAAGTTCAGATCTTGAGTCTGACAGAGTTGAGTCAGATTAAACTCTTGTCACGTTGCACAGAGCTAACTTTAAGGTATATAATCCCTGTAGTTTTTTTCCAGAAATGTGTTAAAATTTGATTTGTAGAATAAAAGAAATCAGGCATGTAATGCTTCTTATCTCTAACAGAGACTTTTCATAACTATCAAATCCTGCATTATTCTGTGGGAAGGAGATCGTACATACCTTTTATATATGCAACCTGTAAAACTAACGATAAGTATGTAGTGCTTGACTCAGGTTTTGGATGTCATTTGAGGGTAGTTGTCATGTCCCAGCTGGCCTTCAGCTCCTGAGCCAGAACATCCCCTGACAGGTCTCCTATCCCTGTGTGGATATCCCAGATACATTATCCCACAGTCAATTATTTGATTCATTGATAGAAGCTGTTGCAGCTACTAATCTAGGTAGTTTGGGAATTACTGTGTGTGTAAGTGCTGTTCATGTGGTTAAAGACTGGAAAACTAGCTTCGACAGTATGTTCTAGAAATGGAGAAAAAATAAAATAAGCAATTAAACACTAAATGACAAGCATATGTATAGTTTTCTGAAGTAATGTTCTGTTTCACTGATCAAATACTAACAAATACATTCCTACTGCTTTTATTCCACAGGTTCAAGGGGAGAGCCAGGTATAATAGGCCTGTTAGGAATTCCTGGACGCCCTGGCACAATTGGAAGACCAGGCAACCCGGGTATCAGAGGCAAGTGGCCATAGTATCTGCCTTCATTATTACTTAGAATATAGAAACTTCCATGCTGAAGTAGTCTTGTGATCCACCTTGATGTCTGTTATCACTCCTGAGTGCGTGTGTTGTACTGGAATTTCTTGGAGTCTTGATAAATCTTTGACTTCTGTATATGTGCAGTCTACAGACTGAATAACAACATTATTTATTTTTTTCCAGCAGTTCTGAATTGCCACCTTTTCTATTTCAATATATTTGTAAAAGTGGCTGGTGATCTGCTAAATAAAGAGCAGAGAGCTTTTTTGCTCTATTTTTTCTTTCTCATTCATGTTCCAAATATCATTAGTAAATTTGTTCAACAGATTCAAGATTATACATATATTCAGTATAAGAAATAGTTACTGTCTCTTGCCACAATCTGTGGTCATAGATGTTTATTGATGATTGGAGTAATTAAGAAGCTAGTTTAGGTTGTTGATTTGGAATGTATATTTACATATGTAGTTGCCCTTGAAGACAGGAGTTCCATTGCTTCCTTTATGCTATTTTCTAGTCAGTTTTTTTCAGAAAATTTAATTATATTTTCTTGCAGGTTCTTCTGGCTTCCCAGGACTAAAGGGAAGAAAAGGGTTTCTTGGAGCGAAAGGCGAACCAGGTGATAAAGGTTTTCCTGGACCATCTGAGACCTTGGTTGATATTGGGACTAAAGGAGAACAAGGCTTAAAAGGTATACATTCATTGGTCTGTCATTCAAAACTAGTTAGGGTTGTCATCTGTGTTGCACTTCCAGTGGACTCCAAAACATGGAAGAAACTGACTCTACTACTGAGAGTATTCACATGGCTTTGAAATAATTATTGCTGAATTGTAACTGCCTTGTTATTTATGGGATCGTTGGATATTACATTGAATATCATTTCCATTTTAACAAATCCATATTTCTTAAAAAAAGTCTTATTGTAAAGTTAGAACAGTATTAATAGGTCAGTAGGAGGAAGAGGCTTATATACATATATGCTATACATTCATGTTTTTACACATGTAGTAGCCCATGAGCACAGAAATGGGTGTGCTTACCAACTAGATGCTGGTTGTGAAGAAATTGAGTCTGCTCAGAAATACTTGACTGTCAGAAGAATTCGTTTGTGGTATTAATGTAGACTCTCTGTATATGAGTTGTACATGCTTAACTAATGCTATCTGTCTTTTTGTGTAACATTTTTCCTATGGAAGCATTCAGAAACTTCCTTTTGTCTCCATATGAGAAATACAGAAGGCATTAACTGCGAGTTCGTGTCTTGCTTGTATGTGTTCATGAAGTGAAAATCCTGTGCTCCACTGCTGCTTCAATAGTTTTAAGAGTTATAATACTTCAAACTTTACATAAAATTTATATTCTAATATGTTGTTCTGTAATATTTTTTGATGAAAATTTGTTTTAGGAATGCAAGGAAGAATGGGTCCAAGAGGAGAAAAAGGAGATGTCGGTGTACAAGGTCCCCCAGGTCTTGATGGATCCGAAGGAATGCATGGTCTACCAGGTACAGGATTTGTACATTGAAAATTACTGTATCACGTGGAGGGTAGAGATAATACTACCTAGCTAGCACATAAACTAGGCTTCAACAGCAGCACTGCGTTCTCTGTATTAACTCTGAAGCTTTTCTGAGAATTCTGAAATGGAGCAATTTCAAAAGCTGCTATTTGCAAATCATAGCAGCTACCACCGAATGATTCTTAGTTTCCTTCAATAGACCATTGTTTGGGGTGATAAATATAAAATAATATTAAATCCTGAATAATAACTCTGAAATCTAAAAGCTGGCGAGACCAATGAATAAAAATTGGTATTTGTAAAAGTGAAGTTTGAATTCCCAATATTATAAAAAAATAAGAATTCTAAAATGTGAACATCACAGTTGTGCACAGAAGTATTTCAGAAGCTTTTTTTATTTCAGATTGATTCTGTTTTTCTTTTCAAGCCTACATGTTTGGCTTATATTTTGAAAGTCACCAGGCCTTCAGTGAAAAGCAGACTTAAAAAGAACCTGCATAAATTATAAACATACCTAAGCCATTTCACAAAGTTTAGCTTTGCTGTTACCATAACCTCATACATAATGATACATATTGACCCTTGCATGAGACAATGCATCTGTTTTTTTCAAATTAATGCTAATAAAACATCTTTACTTCTCTGTATTCTGTATTTTTGATTCTTTGAGAGAACTTCTTTCTAGAAAACCACATGACACTATAATTAGATACATAAAAATAGTACAATTAGAAATAATTTTAAACTTGTAATCAAAATGGCCCTTCTCATGATGGAAATTATCCTTGCTGATGTCATTATAGCATCACAGCTATATTCTGTCATTAACATCCTTTGTAGTCTTTGCAGTGTAGCCATCACAGGAAAAATTTCAAATGCTCCTCTATTCTCTAACTTGTTAGGGAAGAAAGTAAGACTTCACCTGCCTAAATGTTCAGGCATTGGTAGTACCTTGGAATGTAGACATCTGGACATTCTAGGTGCAACTAGATCTTGTAGTCATCAAACTGAGTGCTAATGCAGCGAAATTAAGCTAAATGTAAGTGAATGGGGGGGGGAGGGGGAAGTGCCTAAGCCGTATAAGAAAAAGCTCGAGTATGCTAGTCATGAGAAGTGCATAATGAGCAAGTAATAATGTGGTTGGGACATGCCCAGAAACCAGACTGAACTCAGGGGGACAATGAAAGGAGAATGCAGTGCGTAAATACAAATTCATGATCTTGATCAAAATTAGCAAAAGTGTGTTTCAATTGCTGCCCTGAAGTGCTGTGGTCATGAACCTTAACTTCAATGTTGATACATAAGATGCTTGCTATTTCCTTGACTTTCTGACAAAAACAATGATAATTTTATCTGTGTCTGGGGCAAGAGGCTGCATGTTGATTTACAAAATAGTAAGATACCGTAACAAGGTGTGCAGTAGAGGATTCTATATTCATGACAACTCTACCAGATAGCCAGTGTCTAAAGTAAACGTGAAGATGATGCTTATTTCTTCATCTTGCAGGTGTCAAAGGAGTAATGGGTCTTCCAGGGATTCCTGGAGGACAAGGATTCCCAGGTGCACCAGGAAACAAAGGGGACATGGGAATTCCAGGTCATTTTCTGTCAAGCTATATTACAAATTCATAGAGCTGTATAGAAGCATTTGCACAGATCTGAGCAATTACTGTAAGTGAACTAAACAATACTTAAACTGGGATTTATTCTTTGCAGTATCTATAGACTTCTCGCCACCCCAGCATTTGCTTGATTTGCAGAATGCAGTTCTCCCTCTCTCTAAATGAAACTCTTTTTAATGTGTTTAGAAATAAAATCACTGGCTGTGTAAATTACCATTAATGAAGAATGAATATGTGAATGTTCAAGCAGTAGCTCAGAAAACACGAGGTGTTGTATGCAATTATGATCCATTTAAGAATGGTATCAGTATCTGTATTTTTCCAGGTCCAAAAGGACAGAAAGGATCTCCAGGCTTTCCAGGACCATCAGGTGACCCTGGTCCACCGGGCTATGGTGGCTTTCCAGGTGACAAAGGAAATCCTGGGTACCCATCTGCTGGGCCTCCAGGAGAACCTGGTCCAAAGGTATAAAGACAATGGAAACATTGTCATATTAGGCATTAGGCAGAGGCTTTGACTATAGAAACAGAACAACATGTAAGCAAGAGCTGCAGTTTGCAGGAGTAGATGATTTCTTAGTGATAAGAAATAAGAAAATTCTATTGTCATTACTCAGGAGAAATTTTTTAGTTCATTATATTTCGTTTTTCTTGGTGCAAGAATTTCTTATTTTAAAGATGGAACATGTTAGGAATAACTTTGTTTCTATAGAAGTTGCTAATCCATTCAGAGCAGGGACTTGCACTTAAAATGTCAGCAGTAGGCATACTTGTATGTTAAAAAGTACAGAAAAACATAATCATAGGAAATGCGAAAGTTTTGTAGTCTAAAATTGTACTGTTGGTTTTTGACAATCGATTAATATCATTACACAAGATTGTCCTGGTTTTGGTTAAAACAGAACCGATTCTAAAAGAAAACGAAAACCAGGACAAAGATGAATTGTTTTTTTTTCTTAGAAATATATATTATGTTCAGTATATATTACATTCAGTAATACATGTTGCTAAGAAAAAATAAATACAGTATTCTTGTAAGTTGGATACAGTTTTACTCCACTTATTCTGCTTGTTGAACAGCTGGGAGTCTTTTTACATATGAGATTATCTGAAATACGTGGTTGAGGCTGTATGTACTGTAACTCCTGTAATTTGTCTAAATTATCTGGTTTTTTTCTGTATTAGCTGGATAGCCACAATGAGATTACTGTCATGAAAGTCAGTAGGAATTCAAGGAAAAAAATATGCATTTCAGTATTTTGTATAGCTGCGTATTATGTAAGGAATGTATGTTTGGATCAAAAGAGGAGCTGTTAGAATAAAATTGATGGAAGTCTATGTGCTGGTGAAAACACCTAAAGACTGAAGTTGGTTTGTATAGATTGAAGAAAAATCTTTTTTTCTTAGCTGTGTCTAAAGGATCAGTGGTATTATGAGAAGACTTCATATTAGTCTACTTTGATTTTTGTCTGAAAATCATAATGAACCATGATTACACTTACTTAACCTTTAAAGTTACATATGATTTTTCTATTGTTCAAATACGGAAAGTAATGTATTTAATGTAATGTGATTTTTTTTTTTTTTAACCTGTTCGTGTGCAACTGCTTTTTCTCAGGGAGATCAAGGCCCCCCAGGAGTTCTGGGCAGCAAAGGAGAAAGAGGATCCCAAGGTCATCCAGGACATAAAGGAGTAACAGGACCACAGGGGATCAGAGGGGAAACTGGAGTTACAGGGATCCCAGGTCTGTTTTTTGTTCTGGAGGCGTGGTGAGATGTAGACATGCTTCTAGAAGATAATTTCTTCATAAACTATGCAGAGTGCCTGGGGGCGGCACATTTATATTCACCTGCTGTAAACCTAAACAGCTCCTTTGTAGTCAGCGAAGCCAGGCTGGCTTACAGCGACTAGCAATCTTTCACAGCTGTCCAAAGCAGAAATGATAGCAAAGTTCTCGGACTGAGTTTGGATCTAGTGATAATGCCCTTTCTCCTCTCCCACACCCTTTTTTCTTACAGGGAAGCTTGGACCTCCTGGAGATATTGGTGTTAAAGGACAGCAGGGCCGCCCAGGACAACAGGGCATTGCAGGCCCTCCAGGTATGGTATATGGCATCTCCCTCAAATCACTGCCCCCTGGTTTGTTATTTTCGTTATAATGAGGCAGTTGGTGTTCTTGTTCCTCTGAGCTTTTTAGAATTTAACAGATGCAGTTGCAGTCTCTGTTTATGTTAGTTCGAGGCTTTGTTTACCTTCTGTGGTTCCAGATAAGGTCTTTAACAGCCTGCATTCAATGTTATCACTGAGGCAAGAGGTTTTAATTTTGTTTCACTTTTGTAAAGCTTTTTGCCTTTTTTTTTTCATTCAGAGGTCTCAAGATGTAATGTCCACCTAATTGTAAGAAAGGCTTGTTCTACCTCCTAAAAGAGAATAAACTAAGATGTAGCTAGATGAGGAGAAGAAGAAAATTAATTAGAGTGGTAAGAGGGAACAGAGTTGTAGTTATTTGTTAAAGCAACAGAAAAGGTCAAACCATTCAAAATATACTTAAGGGGGAGTGTGTAAATATGCAGCAACACTGAGGTATGCAATGCAGACTTTATTAAAGTGAGTGCCTGTCATGGTCTTCAAAAAGAGCATTGAATGCTCTTATATTCAGAGATCCTCATCAAAATTATGATGTTGCAGTTTTGTAGACTTTAACTTGCACTGACTTATCAGCAGAGATCTCAGAATCTATTCCCTATTTAGAGAAACCTTGAAATTGTAATAAAGCCAGGGAGAGAAACCACGCTGCCTGTATGGATTTCCACCAGCATGGGTTAAATCAAAGGCAGGGTCCTAAAATGTCTTTGAAAGACAGGAAGTCATTGCCTGTGGAAATAGTGGGGGTGTTAAATCCGTTGAAGACCAGTAAGCTCAATACAAATTGTGTGCCTCTCTTTACAAATGTTTATGTACCAACACAGTTACATCTATCTTTGAAGTAGATGAACTAATTAAATTTTAATAAAAGGGACTCATATCTTCTCCCTTTGAAATGCAAAATAACAGAAGTGAAAACGATGCTGTGGTGCATTGTAATTCACAGGTGCTGTTGGAGACCCTGGAAAAAATGGACTGGTTGGTGAAAGAGGTAGTCAAGGTCAAGATGGTATGCCTGGTCGCCTGGGAGTAAAGGGAGAACCAGGTAACACAAGTGAAACATTTTCATTCTATTTTACAGTTGTTTTTTTCCCTCATTAAACTGGCAATGGTTATTTCAGAAGGATTAATAAGGCGCTTCTTGGAGCCAAAGAAAAGTTTATAAGTAGAAGGTTTTTCACTTTCGTGTAATTCAGTTTTTTCTATATAATTGTTGTACATGCTGTCAACAACCCAAAGGCATATGTCACTGTTCTATTATACATGTGATTTGTCATAACTTCTCCTAAAAATGTTAATGTCTGCAAGAGCCAAAGGATTGCTGTTAACAGTTCTTACGTGTTTAATCTCAGAGACAAAAAGAAACAAAATCTTTTTAAAGGAGCCTCCTCTTCTGTGTGAAAATAAGATAAAAGGAATCACAGAGTTTACTTACCGGAATAGTGAAGGTTTCCATCAGCTGGCCTTTTGGTTGTAAAACCTTTCGTTTAAATGTCACTCCTGATGTTATCAACGTCCACAGACAGATTTAGTCCTCCACTGAATTCTGAGAGAAAGTATTTTCATATCTTACAGTGCAAATGTTTCTTTGCATATTAGTATAAAGAGGGTACTGAGAAGGCATTCATAGTATTTAGTTTTTATTTTTTCCATAATATTTTAGTTTTTTCATATTAAGTTTGAAGTAATCACTGTTAACGTATTTTCATTTTTAGGTACTTATATTTCTTCTTCTATTTTTTTGTAGTAACTAACTTAAATGCAGATCGTTCTTCTGGTTTTTCTTCCCCTAAAAAAAGACAAAGCTTATTCTTGTAGAATGTACCTCAGATATGATTGATCAGTAAGAGTTCCTACTATAAAGAAAAACTTACATATTTAGTTTATATTTCTGAATACAAGAAATTGAAATAATCAATAAATTGTATTTTGCATATAACAAATCTACATTTTGATTCAGTGAATTCTGAAGAAAAGTATGAAATATTAGACAACTGTGATGTTTAGAACAATTATTCAGGACTTTGAGTATAAAGTGACTTAATGTTTTGTAGGAGCACCAGGGAGAGGAATCCCTGGCCTGCGAGGTGTTCCTGGTCGTAGAGGTGAGTTGTCTTTTCAGAAACCAAAAGCTTAATTTTTAAATACCAGAATCATCGTCTTAATTTTTAAGTCGCCTCCTGCTTTTGGGTGCTTGAAATGGCACGAAGAGTGTCAGAGGCAGTCAAGAGTGGTTCTGTGCTTTTGATCAATGATTTGGTGCTGTGTATTAACTGTCAAGCCTTCTTGATTGTAGGGTTAAGACTATTGTAAAAGGGAAATAAATAATGTGGTTTCGTGGAGGTAGTATACATATTCTAGAGCTTTTGAAATTTTATTTTGAGACATAATTTGATTAACAGAGTATGTTCTAATGAAAACAGATGCTGCTGCTGAGTACTAAGCATACTGTAGAAAAGCTGCAGTGACTGCATTTCAGTTTTGTTCATTTTCCCTTTTATACTGATGAACATTTGACTGAGGCTACTCTTCCCATTTTGGAAGTTTCACATTGTATTTCTAGTACTAGTAGAAATCCATTGATTTGTTTTCCTTTTAAAAAAAAAAAATCTGTCTTCATGTCCTCCATATGTAGATCATGGACTCTAAAATCAACCTTAGAACAATGGATTTGGAGTCGTCTCTAATGTTATTGTACTCATATTGATGCTTTTAGCTGGAGTTTAGTTTAAAAGGATTTGCCAGTTCTGATGTTCAAAAGAGGTATTTCTTCTACTTATGCATCAGCAAGTATTCCCTGCTCTGGTCTTTCTACTCTCCTCTCAACTTTATTCCTTCATATGAGCAGTTTCTGAAGTGGAGTTTTGTTTTGTTTCGTTTTTTAAAAAGGCAGGGGAGGTAGGGAGAAAGAAGCAGTGTGTACACTACTTTGCAGGGAGTCCAGTCTTCTCACAGCTACTTTGCTTTATAGTAGCAAGGTAGCTTTGGGGACTTCTCCATACTGAAAACAAAGGCTGAATTCCACCTTTGTGGTATAGTAAATGCACATATTCTGCATAGTCACATCATCTCACCATCTTGACAGCTCTCCCCAAGTGTAATACTTGTACTTTGTAGGAATTAAAGGGGACATGGGACTGCCTGGTGTTCCTGGGCCACCAGGTGCAAAAGGTGTTCGGGGTGATCAAGGACCCATTGGACCTCCTGGCTTAGTGGGGTTGCCTGGATTTCAAGGCTCAACAGGCGTGGCAATTACTGGCCAAAAAGGGATCAGAGGTATCGCTGGTGCAGATGGAAGACCAGGTGTGTTGTTATAACTCCTTATTTATCTGAAATTATATACTGATAATTGAAAGCAGAATTCAGCCTGTCCAGAACTCAAGGTTGAAAGGGGTCTTCATAATTAAACATGTAGTGCCTTTACCATTTAATGCAATGTTACCATAGCAAACACCGTGATGGTCTATGCAGTGTGATGTAAATGAATATAATACTAAACTTTGCAGTCCACTCAATTGCATTGTTTTGCTTTCTTCCCATGTGGTCTGTAGGGCAGCTGAGCTCCAGCTTCTTTAATGAGATGAGGTAGCATGAGTGTGTAGACGTGGCACTTAAGGACATGGTTTAGTGGTGGACTTCACAGTATTAGGTTTACAGTTGGACTCAATGATCTTAACAGTCTTTTCCAACCTAAATGATTCTATGATTACAGGCATAACTGCAACAGGAGGGTATTCAAAAAACTGTAGTGCTATAGAGTACTGCAAGAACTCAACTCTGATCTCAAATTAAATTAGCAAGCTAGGAAAAATGCACTGGTTTTTTTTTTAAAAAAAAAGGTTGTATTTCCTTAGGAATCACTGAGGTGGTAAACATGAGTACCGTTATAAAGTTGTTGAACATTGCACTGCATTGTATGTAATGTGAAATGCTGTTGGTGGTAGTCATTACTTACTTTGATGTTTCTGTATAGGTCCCCCTGGTTTTCCAGGGACTCCTGGTCTTCCCGCTCTCAGCATGAAAGGAAGCAAAGGTGTTAGAGGGGCAGATGGCATACCAGGGCCAACAGGCCCAGCTGGCGACATTGGTCCGCCCGGTCCAAAAGTCAGTGAAAGGATTATTACCTTCTTATTACTATGTTGTTAATTTTGCTCTTACTATGAAAATAACACCCAGGACAATTTGAAAAAAAAAACCCAACCAAAACACAACCAACAAACTAAAACAAGAAAAAGCCCACATCCTCCCCAGAACTCCTTGTAATACAGGAAAAATATTAAAATGGATATGAAAAGTAGATTTTATGGGCTTAAGTAGTCAAAAAAAGAAATAATTGTGAATTTCTGGTATGTCATTTCCTTGGCTGTTCTGTATTATAGATTAGTATTAACAATTATATGACTATTTCTAACATGCTCACAAATGGAACAGATAATTCTAGTTGTAGCATATTCTGTGAACATAACGCTTTGAGTATTCTGAATAAAAAGAAAATGTACTTCATAGCATGCAGATTCTGCTTCCTGGTTATAGCATGCAGATTCTGCTTCCTGGTTATTATTGGTGTTATTTGATTTGCAGGGAATAGAAGGCCGATCAGGTTATCCTGGTGCTAGAGGAGACCCTGGATTTATTGGATTCCCAGGTGTAAAAGGTACTCATGTATTTATTACATACATGTCTGTGTGCTGAATACAACCACGTACATGTTGCATTATGATGGTATGTGTGTAATAGTACCAGGTGTGATACTAGAGAGAAGTTTTTTCCATCGAGAGCCAGATGTAGGTCAGCTATAAATGAAAGTGTTCACTAAGAGAGCATGTTCTTTCAGTTAGATGTTACAGAGATGTCCACACTGATGTTAAAGTGAGGAAGGGCTGGAACTTCAGTGGCCTCCATTCCAAGCAAATTCAAAACAAGTTTGTTCTTAGTGACCAACAATGTGTAAGAACTTTGGGACTGAGTCTACTAAATAGAAGTGCCACACCACTACTAGAAGATGTGACTTTTAGTCAACCTCTTAACTATAGAACTCAAGAGCATTTAGTCGTAATTACAACACAGAGCACTGGGTCCTCTGTTTGCCGTAAGAATAGTCCCAATTATAATCTAATTTACCAGTTTATCAGCAGATGAACAGTTAAATGTATTGGCTTTGTTAATTTCATATTTCTGAGAGTTAGTTGGATCAGTAGCTGGATAAAAATCCTTTTAATTTAGACATTTTTCTAGTTACTTAAATCTGATAAAGGTCTGCATTACTCCTTCAATATTCTCATTTTTCAATAACATGATTTACAGTGACACAAAATTGTCATTACCTGTTTAACCTACTGGTTTGTGTTCCATGCTAATTATTGTGTGTTGTAAATTTTTTCTAATTTGAAAAGTCACCGTACAGATAGTAATGATACTTGCTTAAGCAAAAAGCTCTGATTTCATGGCATAGTCAGTCAAATCTCCTGACTTGATGATAAAAATACTTTTTATTTTGTTTAATTTCCAGCAGAGCTGTGGAGAGTAGTATGGATGTAACCTCATATTTTGCACAGTGAAAAGAATTTCTTATTAAGTTTCAAACACTTGAAAAACTATACAGCCATCCTAAGAGCCATCATCACAACTGACAGTAGTGTTTCAAGGGAGTTGAACTGCACAGCATCATTGAAGGCAGCACTTGACCTGCAAACCCAATGACAAAAACGTGTAAGATAAAAAGGACATAGTCTAAAATGGAGATTTTTAAGCTAGGTTTGTGGGACCAGCCATTATGTGAAGAAAGACATGGAAACATCATCTTATAAACTGACCGTACTTGGCCTATAAATTATACAGTAGCAGCAGAGACATACAAGTCCACTTTCACGTTTCAAATGAGTCTACAGGCTGTGTTACTCTTTGGGAAGGTTGCATGGATCATGCAGAACTCTTAAATAAGCCTCTGAAACTTGTGACAGTTTTTTTGACATTTTAAACCAGACGGGTGTATCTCCAATCTTCTTTCTCAGGAGAAAAGGGTAATCAAGGACCCCCTGGACCACAAGGTGCAGAAGGGCCAAGGGGACCAAAGGGCCAGCATGGTAACCAACCCTTCTCATTCATACCACCTGACTTAAGTTGATTTGTTTGTTGTGTAGTTTGTTTTGCTTTGTTTTAATATAAAGCAGTAGCTCTGCATTATCTTTTTGCTGCTAGGTCCACCTGGAGTCCCTGGGAGAATATTCTCTGTCCCGGGAAGCAAGGGTCCTCCTGGGCTGCCAGGAATCCCAGGAACACCAGGTGATCAAGGAATTCAAGGGATTCCTGGACTACAAGGTGGTTTATATTGTTATCTCTGTACATGTTTGTGTGTGCTGCTTAGTGGAACATTTTGATTTGGTGGGAGAACATGTTTCTGCATAGAAAATTGATGTGTCTTTAAAAATACCTCCCTGTATTTAAAAATAGCTCTTTGTACCTTAATGGCCTTGTGTTTATAACTTGTCCCGTTCCATCTGCCCTCCACCTTCGCAGTCTGTATGTTTCTGCATCAACATAAGCCTAAGAAAAATAATGGAATAAAAAGTAAACTTGGATCAAAACATTCACCATTTTCATACAACCAGAACCATGCTCAGAATGTTTGTCATTTTGAGGGGGAAATTACCAGTTGTAATAGAAGTACTCTAGTACTCTAGATGTGCTACAAAGCGATTGTGTCTGTCATAGTCTGGGGGTGGGAAAAGAGAGGAGAAGCTGGCTACTTCTCTTCCATTGGCACTAGAAGTGAAGCCTGCCATGGCTGTGAGGAATGGGGAATTCAGGAGCAGGTAGGATGTGCAGTGGGTACTTGGCCACCCTTCTCAGTACCACAGCTTTCCACCCCAGGAGGGAGCTCCTCAGGGGGCAGGTTTGCCAGGAGGCGTGCCCCACTCAGGAATGACAGTTGCCTCCAGCATAACAAAGCAGGCACCAAAGAATTGTGCTACACTTTCCTTAAAGTCAGTTTACAAAGGAGCTGCGTTATTTCTAGAATTACAAACCTTGACCAAGATGATTATGGCCTGTTACTATTGTATGACACATGCTAAAAGAAAAAGCTCTTTACTGTGGTTTCCGTAAACATTTCTCATGAGAAGCATATTTTTCTACAATACATTCAATATTTCCTTGTAATCTTCCTGATAGGAAATACGGTTACAGTAACACTATAGTCAGTCTCAGAACGTAGTAAATTGATGCTGATATTTTTATTCTAACACAGCTACATTTATTTGGGGATTTTAACTTAATTAGTTATTAAAATCTAGAATAACTACTGCTACATTCTTCTGTTTTTTTCTTGATTACAATTTAGGACCTAAAGGACTAAAAGGTTTACCAGGAAGTTTTGGTCATCCAGGTAAACCAGGACTGCCTGGTCCAAAGGGAGACAGGGGATTTCCAGGACAAAGAGGTACAGGGAAGCGGACGTCTCTGACTGCTACTACTGAATTTACTGTTCAACTGTATTCCTGATTTCTGCAAATCCTTCCTCTTGCATATATTGAGATTCTGTAACATTTGCAGTAGCTTTAGGGCCACAAGCATATTTAAGAACATTCTTAGCTTTTAACAGACACATGTACACAATTGAAATAATAATTTACAAAAATACGCCTTGACTCTGCTCTTCTGTTATTAATCACATTTATTTGTCCACTTGAAATCCCTAGGTATCAGTGTGCCTTTATACGACATCAGAATGGAACTAAATATTTTTATTTAGTCACCATAAAATGTTTTTACTTTACAACTTTTTTGGTAAAAATGGCCATGGTTCTTTAAAATATCTCACTATTCCATGAAACTATGTAATGTAAAGCTACCTGAGCTAGGTCTGAAGGAGTTAATACACCTAGCAACAAACACTACCAATTTTCAAGATGTATCTTCTGATTAATACATTTTTTTGGTTAATTTTCAAGTGGTTCCACTAATTCAAATGAAGTAAAAAATTCATACAAAATCATAATATTTACAGTCATATTTCTTTCCCCTCTGCAGGACAACCTGGACTGATTGGCTTCCCAGGTGTACAGGGGTTACCTGGATCACCAGGCACTGTCATTGCTGGTCCAACAAGAAGAGGTTTTATCTTTACCCGGCATAGTCAGTCAACAAAGATTCCTTCATGCCCACATGGGACATCACAGATCTACGTTGGCTATTCACTGCTTTTTGTACAAGGAAATGAACGAGCACATGGACAAGATCTTGGTACTGTATCAGTAAAAATTTTCAGATTGTTCTCTTTACAGTCCAGTAACGCTAAGTTGTCATGAAACCAAACTCACAGTAAGTGTCTGAGATGGAACACCGGTTTCTACCATCAGTCTCCAGAGTGGTCTGCTGCTCTGAGTCAATCCAGGAATCGTGGCTCGAAAGACACCTTTCTTTCCTGCACTCCTATAGTCCCCTTTTGCTATCCCTGGACATTTTTGAGGAAGAATTCAGTTACCTACAGATAGATGTCTAGTATAAATGTTTCCAACATCTGCACAGGACTGACAGTAACAACAGAGGATCTGAGAGAGAATCTTGCTTTTTTGGAGACCAAATGGGATGTTGTAGGGTGTCAAAAATAGCACTAGAAGCTCTTGTTCAAGGAGCTGAGTCCCTGCCGCTGTGTCAAGGACCAATACTGTTCAAGAAGATAAAACTTTAGCAGATTCTGTTCTTAGCCCTTATTTTTTATATACATATTTTTATATATACCATAAACATTTTGCTTTCGGATAATTCCACTGTACAGACACTTTTCTCTTTACAGTTACCGTCTTAATTCTCTGTATAGCAGGTTGGATGCCATCATATGTCTCTTCTGTTCACTGCACTAAATACAAGCTCCTGTCTGTCACAGCCCTCTCCTCTTTTGTCTTTTAGGAACAGCTGGTAGCTGCTTGCAGAGATTTACCACCATGCCATTCTTATTCTGTGACACCAATGATGTTTGTAGTTTTGCTTCTCGCAATGACTATTCATACTGGCTGTCCGCTGCAGCAGTAATGCCAGTGGACATGGCACCAATTTCTGGCAGGGCACTAGAGCCCCATATAAGCAGGTGAGAGTATAAGAATTTTAGCTCTTCTGGCCTGGAACCACAAAGACATCATAAGTTGTTTTGAATGGCAAATCTTGGGCAAAGACCTGCCCACCTCAGCCAGTACAAGCACTGTTTTTAACCACCTGATTTTTGATTACTCACCCGATTATGTCAGATACTCAGTAATGTTTTAAGAAAAGTTAGATTAAAGCTAGGGTCCCACCACAGGGCTTGATCTGCATAGCTGATGTGAGAAGATGGCACACAATCCTACTGATTGCAGTGATTTTTTTTAAAAAAAAACCTACTGTTGTGCATGTCAGAGGCAGACTGAAATGCAATGAAGATAGCTTCGTTATTTGGAATACAGTGCAAATGAAGTTCTGCTTTCAATTGTGTGTGATACATTTACTGCAGTTGGTGAAGAACATCATAAGTTGGGGCTGAAGGTTCTCTGCTGTGTAACACCCTTGTGCAAATGTGACCCTTTCTAGTTGCTTTAGAACAGCTGAGAAGGATGAAGACCATCTTAAAAGGAAAAGCTCTAAAAGCGTGAAAGACCAAGAGTAGCAAAATCAAATATGGGAAAGTAAGCTTTGCGCTCTGTCTTCTAGCCTGCCCTAGCCAGTTGCAATCTAGTAGCTCAGCTTCATAGTTTCTTCATTTAGGAAATAAAAGATTGCATTTTCTAATCTTGGCAAATAAAGGTACAGAACTTTGATCTAAACCGTACCAACATGAAGTAGGGAGCACATGAGGAAGGTAAAATTTAGTTTGTTACTTCACTAAAGGCAAAATTGGGAAGCTCAAATGTTCTGGGACTAATTCCCATCTTACACCAGTTTTTGTCTGGTGTTACTAGTAGAGATTGCAAAGCAAGGTACTTGGGTTACCTTCAATTTATTTGTCTCCTCACTAAACAGAAAACCTGTGTAAGTTGTAATGTTTATAGTAAGCCCTGCCATTATGTAGGTACCATCCTAGAAGATACAATTTTTGTCTGCTTTCATGTTTTCCCTCATACCTGCACTGAATGTATGTATGTTTCTTCTTACAGGTGTGCTGTCTGTGAAGGAGCTGCAATGGTAATAGCAGTTCACAGCCAAACAACTGCAGTTCCTGCATGTCCAGAAGGCTGGATGTCTCTCTGGAAGGGTTTTTCTTTTGTTATGGTAAGGATATCAAGACTTGAATTATTAATTTTATGTCCTCTGGCTTTCATTGGCATTTTCATCTGCTCATAGCTTATTTGGTTCTTAATAATTGTTAAATTCTTTTTTTTTTCCTTTGCCAAGAAGTAGACAATAATTCTGTTAACTCTTACTCAGTGCCAGAAGCATAGGAACAACTATTCTGATCTGTCCTCAAAAATAGGTGTTAGGAGGAAAAGAGGAAGAGATAAAAGGAGAACCATAGGATATGTCTGACAAAATTAACTGCATGCTCTCATTTTCATGTGTCATGCTAAGATCTAGGAAACGGGTTTGGGGAGTGGAGTGGTTAAACCAGTCCTGAAAACAAATACACAAAAATAACTGACCCACTTAACATGCCAGGCAGTTCTTTTATAAATGGCATCTCAAGGCTGAACTCCACAGAAAGTTAAAATCAAAACAAAAGCAGTACACTGTCTACAAAAGACTGCCTCAGCAATTTTGATGCCATAACGAGATACGAGTGAAGGAAGTTCATAATGTGCCTGCAAAGTGAGAGTGGATTATGGGAGTAAGGGTGTATCTGTACTAGGGGATGTAGCACTTCGTCTTTGTTATCCAAGCCCTATGGGATGTTATAGGGATGCCAGAAAATGAGGGTAAAAGACAGAATTAAAATCCCCTCTTTTTTGCATGGTGTAAAATCCTTTTAGGTCTAGTGTGAAATTTGTTGTCTCTCCTGGGATTTGGCCCTAAGTAGTAAAAATAATCTTGGGAAAGAATCGAGGGAATTTTTGCAGCATCTGGTTAATATAATTTTTTTGTTTCCAACATCAAATTTAAATGGTGTTTTCTAGCTAATTTTCTACTGTCATAAATTATTTTAGAGCTATTTCTCCAAGCATTTAGCAGCACGAGAGAAGGAAAGTGCCTTCTTTGTTTTTTGCGTTTGGAGAAGCAATCAATGCAACAAAATATATGAACAGACACAAAATAGGGGATTTGACTTATTTGTAATTCAGCTACTATGGTCCTCAGATGGACGGAAGCCAGCTACTTTCTAGTCTTTGTACTGGTTACAGTTTCATGGCTTTTCACGGAGCACAAAAAGGCCTTTGCGGGGACTTAAGAAATGCCCCAACTGTGCTTGAAATTTCATAAGGCTTCTGTGCTTCATTATAAGTTTGATAAAGCTAATCTATGTTCTTTTTTTTCGCCAAGACATACCACAGAACATACGGTATGTTGTAGAAAGAGATTTTTTTTTTTTTTTGCCTGTAGTTTACTAAAAGCTGATGGACAAGTTCTCATTAAAAATGTATTGGTGGTTACAGTATACAAGTGCCGGCTCAGAAGCTTCTGGCCAAGCATTGGCATCTCCTGGCTCTTGTTTGGAAGAGTTTCGAGCCATCCCATTCATCGAGTGCCATGGCAGGGGGACGTGCAACTACTACACAAACTCCTACAGCTTCTGGTTGGCATCGTTAAATCCAAGAAGAATGTTCAGGTAAACTGTACTTGACTGCATCCGCACACACAGCACCATGCTGCAAGTCCCTGAGGGCACGCTAACTGCCTGCGTAACGTGTTGGGGCTCCCCTAGTGATTCCCCTCAGTTTAGACATCCCCCTGTGTTAGGTTTAGGGTCATTCTGTAGAACAGTGATGCCTTAAGTTAGCCAAGGACTTCAATGTCCTGGGTTCAGCCAGGACAGGGTTAATTTTCACCAGAATCCAGGAAGGGGCACAGCTGGGTGGGCTGCCCAAGCCCAACCTGGCCAAACCGAGCCGGGTACTCCATACCATGTGTCGCCATGCTGGGTTCCGGTCGGGGGG